CTCGATTATTAAAACATTACCGGTTTGGCTTGTTAATTAAGTGTTGGTTTAACGGGTNAAAAATAAAAAACACATCATAGTAAAATTAATACCTTCTCAGCTTCGCATCGAAGCTAAAAAATAATAAATTCTCATATAATATTATTTAATTAAATTATGATTATTTATCATAATATCTTTTACAATAATTTCACTCCTATATTATTATTTTGGAATTTGATTAAATAAATTTAGTGCAGTATTTAGTGAGAACAGAGTGGCATGTACCCTTATCCTCCATTGTTAATACTATGTTAATATAAAAAACGGTAGCACAGTGGGGTCGAGGCACAGTATAGACGTGGCATAGATGAGATAAGTATAGATGATATCTGACNGCCGTGGTATAGTTGGATCAAGTATAATGACATCTGACAGTGATTAAAATCACTATCAAAAACGGTAGCACAGTGGGGTCGAGGCACAGTGTGGACGAGGCATAGATGGGACAAGTATAGATGATATCTGACAGTGATTAAAATCACTATCATAAGAAACGCTTCGATGCAAATCTGTAGATAGTGTTTCCTTTAGAGAAATTGGTGAAATATTTTAAAAGCAACATGAACTCTTATTTCTTTAATTATATCCTGATTAGTAGTTCTTTGATTTTAAAATATAATATATGAATAAATACTAATTATAGTTTTTAAATTTAGTATGAAATTGTGAGGCCAGCTATGATGTATGGTTCATAGTGTTGGGCGGTTGATAAGAAAGTAGAGCAGAGAATAAGTGTAGCAGAGATGAGAATGCTTAGTTGGATGAGTGGAGTGACTAGAGAAGATATTATAAGGAATGAGCATATAAGAGGAAGTATAGGTGTTGCGTCAATCGTAGATAAGATGACAGAAAATAGACTTAGATTGTTTAGTCATGGTATGAGGAAAGAAGAATCGAAAGCTGTAAGAACAGTTATAGAAATGAATGTTGAAGGAAGAAGAGATAGAGGAAGACCAAAAAAGAGATGGAGGGATGCTATTGAATGCGATTTGAGGACAGCTGATGTGAGCGTAGAAGATGTGGGAGATCNTAAGCGTTGAAGATGTGGGTGATCGTGTTAAGTGGAAGTTTAGGATAAGGATGGCCGACCTCAAGTAGTTGGGATTAAGTCGAGGAAAAAGAAAAAGATTACCAGAAATTCCGGTGGCAATTGACATATTATGATTGTTGTTTGGGAATGTACAATTTAGTGTTTAGTTGGGTTTAAACAATATAGTGTCAAATCAATTACCTACTCTATCG